AATTAGAACTTGTGACCCCTTGGGCTGGAGGCACCAACACAGGCCAAGCTGAGCTGCCAAAGGTCACACAGCAGGGCAGGATCCCCAAAACACCCAGGTCACAGTGCAAGGTAGGGTCAGAGATGATGACCCCAGGTTACAGGTCAGAGCAGGATCTCCAAGAACAACCCCAGGTCACAGGTCAGAGCAGAGTCACCACACCAACCAAGCTATGTGGTCACTGTCTCCGGCTCTGTGTGGCCTCAGCAGCAGGTCAGTTGAGTTTCCAGTCCCTGAGCAGAGCAGGCACCAGGTCCCACAGGCTGTTCACCAGGTATGGGACGTGTCTGCGGAACTGAGATGACCACGCCCACAGCCTCCTATGTACACTCCACAGTCAGCATGTGTGCTCCCACGGCCTCCTGCATACCCAGACACATCTTCCACTCCAGCCTGAGGCCTCCCCATCCCAGGACACCAAGAGTCACCAACCATCCACCAAGCAGCCACATCTAGGCTCCTAAGATCCCACCTCTGCCCTGCCTGACTCCAGGTCCCCTCACCCCCTGCTGCCCATGAATTCTGGGCGTCAGCTCTTGGGGAAGGGGCAGCTCCAACACCTGCACTTGTCCTCAGACCCAGCGTCACCAAGGGGGACAACCTGGCTGCTGCTGACCCAACCTCCACCCACGGCAACATTCCTGCAGCCACGATGCCAATGTAGCACCACAAGGCTGAAAACAAGCTGTGTCAAGGGCCCCGCGGGGTCCCAGGGCCACTCACAGACACACTCGTGGCCAGCTCAGTCCCCACCTGCAAGCCTCAAACCCTGAGCCTCCTACCGTTCTGCCCCCCACCGCCCAGGCTGCTGTGTGGACGCAGCCCAGCAGACACAGCCCCTTGTGACATCCCCCCGGGCGGGATGCTGGGGCCTCGGGTGCTGCACCCGCCACTGGGATCCAGCCACCCATACCCATCCGCCAAGGGGCAAGGCACTCAGAGCCCAGCCTGCAGGTAAAACACGATCCAAGCCCAGTGCTAACCCTGCAGCGCAGAGTGGCAGTCCATGGGGGACCTCGTCCTCCCATGAAAGTTGCCCGGGATGCACGTGGCTCCTTGTGATCCCAGGGGTGTAGTCAGACATCCACATTTCGCAGCTGAGGCACACGGACCCAAGCAGGTGGTGACATCAGGAATTACACAGGAAACACACTCCATCCCAACCGCAACAAACCAGGTCCTCACAGCCGACCTCACAGGGAAGGACCCAAGGTCACCCTGATCCCAGCTGACCCCATGGGGAAAGATGCAGGACCACCTTCACCCCAGCCAACATCACAGTGAAGGACACAGGTCCACCCTGCCCCTATGGGGGATGCAACACTATACTGACCAGTGTGACTCCAAACCCCCTGGCATAGGACCTCAACATCACGAACCAAACAAAACCAAGGCAGGATTAAACATTTCAAAAAGCAAGACAAGCACATACCAGCTTCTCCAGCCAGGTGACGGTCGGGATGCAGAGGAGGCCAGAACTTCTTGTCACAGAAGCCCCTATTCCGCAAAGGAAAGCGAAAAAGTACAGGTGGGTCTGGGGTCCCTGGCACCCCTCCATGTCCCTGGTGCCCTGAGGCGGCCTCAGCTGGACAGGACAGAACCCGACACCATACAGGCACGTGTGACGAGGTCTCAGCCCATCCCAGGCAGTGTCCTGTTGGGAGGGAGCCCTCCCCAGGGAGCACAGCATATGTCAGCCCCACACACGCGGCATCCGTGCCACCCACCCAGGAGCCCAGTCACGTCAGCTGCCAGGTAGACACCTAGCGTGAAAACCCATGACCTCACAACAGGCAACACTCCCCACACAGGGTGGCCCGTGTCAGGGCTCAGACATTTTCTGCGACACCTTGGAAGTGGAGCAAGGGGAAAGAGAGTGGTTCATGGCACAGATGCCGTTCTGAGCCGAGGACAAACGAGAACAAGAGCTTTGGGGCTTCCTCGTACCTCTTCACAGAGTGCCTGCTCCAGCCTGAGCCACCCACCCACTGTGGGCCCGCACACCGTGTCACAGAGTCTGCCACTCGTACCTCTTCACAGAGTGCCTGCTCCAGCCTGAGCCACCCACCCGCTGTGGGCCCGCACACAGTGTCACAGAGTCTGCCACTCGAAAGCACAGGCCCTCACAGGAGGGAATGGAACAGGGTGGTAAACTGAGGCACAAATCCCACACTACATGCTGAGGGACAGGAAGATAAACAAGGGGGCCTCCTGGGTGACCCTCCATGGACAGACCCTAATGGGGGCGTTCTCCATCACAGCAGGCCTGGGATCCCCAAACCACCAACCCCGCAGCTTAAAGGGAACTGCAGACACGGCCCCCAAAAGTAGCACAGGGCCCTTAAGTAGACCCTGAAACCACAGGCCTTAGAGAAAGTTGTAGGACGCTCCTGAGAGGATAGAGATCCGACCCGCCATCAGTACACAGTGCTGCACTGATTTCAAGGTGCCCAACACCTGCACTTGTGTAAATATCCTCAGGTGTTCCTTGTTACTGCTTAATATAATTGCATATGGGCACCCAGGTGTCCAGGGTTGTGGACTTAAGTATAAAAGACTAAAAGCTCTGATTCATGGTGCTTCTCAGGACTCTCAGAGAAGCCGCTAGGACAGTTGCTCCTAGATCTGAATAAAACCCATTCATTTTTCTATACCTACGGCTCCCAGAACCTTTTTTTTTTTTTTTTTTTTCCTATTACCTACCTCACAGACCTGCGGTCTGTGGTCACATCGGACCGTCCGCAGGGGACACATGGTAAAGTGTCGGGCCTAATTCAGTCTGCCCTCACTCTCAAGTGGTTCAGGCAAACACACGTGCATGCACACGGGACAAAGGGAACGCAGCAGCGCGTTAACACCTGCTGACCCAGGTGTTTGCCATTTCTTAGGTCAGAGTTTTCCAAATAAAGTTGGAGAAAAAAGATAGTGAGAAATGACTTGATTCATAGGATGTCCTGAACATCTCTTAAATATTTTAAGGTATTTTGAAAAAAATTAAATACTACAGGTAAAAAAAAGTTGTCTTCCCAAAATGCAAGAAGACAGCTTGTCCTGGCAAAGCAAATAACTCAGACATTATTTCTCCCAACAAAACCACCACCCCTGGCTTCTTCCACCATCAGCCCCGATGGCAAACCCACTTCTGCCTGCATGCAGGGACGACTGAGCCCCATGAGGGGCTCGTGACACAAAATGGGACCTTGTAAAGCTAGGGCTTACAGACCCCTCGAGTCTGTTGCACAGATTGGGTCACAAACCTTCCACACGCAGGTCTGTGAAGTAGGTAATAGAAAAAAAGGTTCTGGGAGCCATAAGTATAGAAAAATGAATTGGTTTTATTCAGATCTAGGAGCAACTGTCCTAGCGGCTCCTCTGAGAGTTCTGAGAAGCACCGGGGAATCAGAGTTTTTAGTCTTTTATACTTAAGTCCACAACCCTGGACACCTGGGTGCCCATATGCAATTACATTAAGCAGTAACCAGGAACACCTGAGGATATTTACAGCAAATGCTCAGCAAGATTCTGAACATCTGACGGGCCCTGACATTTTCCTGTTTTTCCCAACAGACCTCGGGGCCCTTTACCCCACAGAGCCCAGCCCACGTGCTCAAACTTCTCAGTCATTCCGTGCAGGACGCTGTGGCCTTCCTTGCTGTGGTACAGCTCTGTCGTCACCATCCCTGGAAGAGAAGAGGGCACACTGAAGGAGAGAAGTGAGTTGTCACAACCCACCTGCTTCTGCAGCCCTCCAGCAAGGCCAGCGGGCCTGTGGTCAGTGAAGGGCCAGCAGGAGCACCCTGTCCTAGAGGCTGGGGGGGCCACAGCGTCAAGCCTCTCCAGCTGAAGCCTACACACCGCTCACCTGCCCTCTGTATTTCTAATGCCACTGGGTGGAATTTCCCTAAGGCCTTGCAGTGTCAAAACCACTCAGGGGCTTTCTAAACATTCAGGTCCTGCCCCACCCATCCCTCCTGAAGCAGGTCAGAAACCTCCACTGTTTTTTTGGTAACAACTTAAAGATAATTCACACACCACACATATCACCCATTTAAAGTATAAAACTTAGTGGCTTTTAGTTCATTAGCAGACATAACCGGCCACCACAACAGTCCCACTGCCACCCCCAACCCCGCCTTTCTGTGGTTGCCCCTCAGTTCGCCAGCCCCAGGCAACCACCAACCTCTTTTGGTCTCTGTGGCCATCTGTCGGGCTAGGGCTCACAGACCCTTCAAACCCACTGTGCAGACTGGGTCACAAACCTCTCACATGCAGGTCCACGAGCTGCGTAATAGGAAAAGGATCCTGGGAGCCGTGGGTAAAAATTTAATAGGCTTTATTCACATGCAAGCTCAGGGAGCTTGCAGCCCTAGTGGCCTCCCGGGGCGTCCCGAGGGCACTGTGGAGCAGAGCCCTGTGCCCTTTACACTTTGCCAGTCGGATAACCAAGGAACACCTGGGCGCACACGTGCAGTTGCTTTAGGCAGTAACAGGGAGCACCTGGGCGCACGTGCACACCTACATCAAATGCTCGGCAAGACTCTGAAACATCTGAGCGGCCCTGACCGTCTCCTGTATCTTTCCTACAGGGTCGCGTTCTGAGGTGCTGGGGCTGGGACGTGCATGTGCCTTTGGGGCGGCGGCACCATTAACAAAAACTCCAAGTGAAGGCTGAGACTCCAGGGACCCTCTGCAGCTGCGCGGAGAGGCGCTCCCCTGGGACCGGCCCGCCCCTCACCTCCCCTGGGTGGATCCGGGGGGCTCTGCCATCATTTTCCAAGCATCCCACAGCAGCCGCCTGACGCCGACCCCCGTAGCAAGGGACCCCGGCGCGGACCCGGACCCCATCGCAGAGTCCGCGGGGCTCCCTGCTCTACCCGGCGCGCCGTCCGCCGCGAGCAGCCCNGGGGAGCGGGGGCCGGGGCCCACGTGAGGATGGCCGGGGAAGTGGAAAGGGAGAGGCCGAGGAGGACGAAGAGGACGAGGAGCCGGAGGAGGAGGAGGAGGACGAGCTGCTGACGAGCGACCCCCTACTGCCGGCGGGGACGCAGCGCGTGTGCTTGGTCCACCCTGATGTCAAGTGGGGCCCGGGCAAGCCGCAGCTCACCACAGGTGACGGGGCGGGGCCTCCGTGGGCGGGGCGTCGCCTCTGATTCCGACGTTCAGGCGGAGAGTCTGGGGGCGCGGCCTCCGGAAGGGGCGGGGCTGTCGGGGCGTTGACTCCGAGAAGCGCTCATAGGGTGGAGACGCCTGGGCGGGGACTGAGGGGAGGCACTCATAAGGCGGGGCCTCCTAGGGGGCGGGGCCGCGTGAAGGGGCGGGGACTCGGAGGAGGGGATCTCAGGGCGGAGGTGTCGGGGGCGGGGCCTCGCCGCTCCTGCTGCTGCTGCTGCGGGGGGGTTTCTAGCGCTGCGACTGGAGCCCGGGCCGGGATGGCGGGTTTGGGGTCAGGGGATGCGGGAGTCTAGGGCACGGAGGGAGGTGTCTTCTCTCAACCCCCCAACCCCGGAAGGAGGAAGTGGGAGGGATGAAGGCGCTGTAAGTGCCTGCCACTGGGGAGCGTTGATTTCTGCATTTCTGCGTTGGAACCCTCTGGGGCTGACAGTGCTTTTCTTTCACGGGAATTTCCAAAATGTGAAATTCGTGCGGGAGCTGAGGCCCCGCACTGCTGAGAAACAGCACCTGAACCTCCTGGCTCCGCTTCCACGCCTGCCCTTGGGCACGCTTAGCAGACGCTCCCCCTGCCCCCCGTCGCCCCCTCATGATCACTCCTGAACCGGGGGCTGCATTTCATGCCGCAGCTCCTGGCCTGCCGCTCGGCCCCTCTTCCCTTCAGCCCGCTCACCCTCTCCTCCTCTATTCTTCCCGCCCTCTCCTGCTCCTAAGGATCTCTCCCCATCTGTAAAAAAAAAAAAAAAGAATAAGAATCTAACAAAAACCCTAAAAATCTGCCCTTTACCAGTGTCCACAGTGCGTGTCAGGGAGCCTTTAACTCGTCGACCCCTTCTGGACTTGTGGCTCCCAAACACAGAGATTCGTGCACAAAACTGCGTGGCGCTTGTTGTAGAAAAAACTGCAAACCCTTGGGTGTCTGCCGCTGAGACGGTGCCTAACTGGGACCTTCACCCATGCGTCATCCACCCAGTCAGCAGCCGCTCCCACCACCTGCGCTGTGCCCGCACCGTCCCAGGCTGAGGGAGTGCCACAGAGTAGACACACTGGCAGAAACCCGCCACCCGGGTGCCGTGGATGGGGTCAGGAAGTCAGGGAGGGACCATCCCCAGGGTGGGCCAGGGTGACCCGGGGGAGAAAGGACCTCGGGCAGCAGGGAGCCGGCGGGCAGAGAGTAGGGCCTTGAGGGAGGGTCTCCAGGGAGCACTTCCTGGGGTTTCCCAGGACTGCCAAAGGGCTGGATCTGTGGCTGGGGGCACAGAGCCAGGCCACACTGCATCTCTTGAGTAAAACAGGATTTGGGTTTCACTCTGCGTGCACTGGGTTTTAAGCAGATGAGTGGCCGAAGTCGTGGGGGTTGGATTTTTTGTTCCCCCCCCATCAGTAAGCGTTTTCTTGAGATATAATTCACATAGAATACAATTAACTATTTTAAAGGGTACAATTCAGTGGCATTTAGTACGTTCACAGTGTTGTGCAGCCATCACCTCTGTATGGTTCCAGAACATTCTCATCACCCCAAAAGGGAACCCTGTACCCATTGACGGTCACTCACCATCTCCCCTTCCCCAGCCCCTGGCAATCACTAATCTGCTCCTGTCTCTGTGGATTTCCTGTTCTGGACATTTCATATAAATGGAATCACACACTGTGTGGTCTTTTGTGTCTGGGGTCTTTCACTGAGCACAATGTGTTCGAGGTTCATCCACGTTGCAGCAGGTGTCAGAGCCTCATTCTTTTTCATGGTGAGTGATAAGTCACTGTGTGGTGACCACATTCTGTTTGTCCATCATCCGTTGATGGACACCTGGTTGTTTCCACCTCTCAGCTATTGTGAACCGTGATGCTGTGAACACACGTGAACAAGTTTTTGTGTTTTCCATAGATACCTTGGGTGGACTGTGGGGGTCCCACGTGGTCTTTTGACTAGATCCTGCAGGCAGGCGACTGTGGAGTAGCTGTACTGGAGCTGGGCCAGAAGCTGGGAGCGGGAACAGGAGGAAGCTGTGCAGGGATCCTCACTGAGCTGGGGGCTCAGGCCCAGTGGCAGTGCACTGAAGACCGTGCCTGCAGGGTTTGTGACAGCCAGGCGTGAGGTTCAGGGAACAGGGGAGTCAGGGATGGCCCCCAAGTGCCTGAGCTAAGTGTCCAGACGATGGAGATGGGAAGAATGGCAGCCCACCAGGAGTGTCATCGAGAAGGTTTTTGCACCCCACTACAGAGGATGGGGCCCCCCGTGGCACACAGGATGGGGCCTCCCCCACAAGACAGAAGATGAGGGACCCTCCCCATCACCTCACATCTGTCCTGGCCCCCACGTAGCAGCTTGTCACTCATGTCGGCCTCTTTCCCTTGCCTTGGTTTCCTGTGCCATGGAACTGCAAAGGTTAGATGACTTAACATTCACTCCCATGCACTATGCTGGGGCGGGGGTAAGAGAGGGTGTTTGTTGTCCTGTAGGAAGGGAGGAGTTAAGATGGAAAAGATGCATTGGGAAGGAAGACAGGACATTGCAGGGCAAAGGAGAGGACAGGAGCTGAGTCCTCCAGGGACGAGAGGGGTAGGAGCTGGGAGGGGCCACAGCAGCTTATGAATTTCCTGGAGCTGCCATGACAGCATACAGAAGGGATTTACTCTTCCCCGGTTCTGGAGGCAGAAGTCTGAAATCAAGATGTGTCGGGCCGTGCTCCTTCCAGAGGCTCCAGGGGAGGATCCTTCCTGCCTCTTCCAGCTCCTGGTGGCCCCTGGGCTTTTGGCCGCATCACTCCAGTCTCTACCTCCATCTTCACGTGGCTTCTTCTCTGTCTGTGTCTCCTCTTCTGTCTCTTATAAGGACACTTGTCACTGGATTTAGGACCACCCTAATCCAGTATGATTCCATGTGGAGACACTTAATTGCATCTGTAAAGACTCTTTTTCCATATAAGGTTCATTCTGAGGTTCAGGAAGAACGTGAACTTTGGGGAACACTGTTCAACCC